ACTGATGGACACTTCGGGCTCCCATGATCCTTTGCGCAGATTCTTTGCATGATGACGGCGCCTCCGTGTGGACACGTGATGATGGCGCAGAAGGGCACTTCAAGAAACAGTTGTTTGGTCCCCTACACCCTTCAACCCTTTGAAGCTCTCACTCCGAAGGGTAAACCCTTTGAAGCTCTCACTCCAAAGGGTAAACCCTTTGAAGCTCTCACTCCGAAGGGTAAACCCTTTGAAGGGATTAGGGCATAGGAATGAGCCCTTCCGAATGGAACGCAGGGAGTGTTTAGCTCCAACCATAATCAAACACACCTGAACCAGCTAATCATTGTCTTCAAGACTACTAGAAGGCTACAGGCAGGTGAGTTTTATCAGGGTTGGATCAAGTCTCTGCAGGAAGGTGGCCTGGAAGTGCCAAGTTTGCCCATCACTGCTCCAAGACCTGAAATTGGTGTGTCAAAGAAAGGAGACATGCAAAATGTGCAGTGTTGGGGTGCCTCCATGACCAGGTTGGGAACCACTGCTATAGAAAATACGTTAACACAGGGAACAAACTTGCATTGAACAAACTACTTCATGACCTACATAGGCAGCAACATATGCAACCAAAATAGTGCTCCACATGGAGATTCAACTCACAATTTATTTTTATTATGAAGAATATGTAACACTTCATACTTTTTAAAACATAAGTTTTGCTCAGCTTGTGTCCGGAAAATTATATATATATATATATATTCATAATGACAAAAGTGACTGAAAGGAATTACTAATACTCAGCACTTGACCTGGTGGCCCAAAGACATTCCCTTCTTCACTTAAAGGGTAAATTGCTGTGCAGACATGGCTCTATTCCTTACCGTGAGGTGTGGTGGCTGGGGTGGTGGAAGGTGGTGTGGGGGTGCACTGAGAAACGGAAAGGGGGATGCGGAGAGAGCAGTGAAGGTGGGGTTGGGAGGTGGGGGGGTAATGAAGGTGTAATTTGGGAACCATCTGTAAGACGCCTGCAGGGCTTCCTCTCCAAAACCTCCCCCTCCGGAGGGAAGCAGGTGCTGAAGGCGGAGTAGGGGAACAGGGGAGTGGAGGAGGAGAGGAAGGGGGAAGTGAAAAAGAGAGGTGGTGGTAATTGTAGTTAGCCAGCTTGCTAAAATGTCATCAGCTCTAGAAGTCTGAGTTTTGGGAGTCTATGTGACGTGGATGGCCTTTTATTCCTTTGACCTTCTTAAAGGTCTTTGAGTCAAGGGGTGTGCCCTTAAGGCTTATGGATGCACCAACTTGATTGCACTGTTCACACCTGCAGGTCTTCCTTCCTATGCTTAATTTGGGAAAAGAGTTTGTAAATGGGAGCGGTAATAATGCTCTTAAGCATTTAAGCTCAATTTAAAATGGACTGTAATGGTTGAAAATAAAGGCCAATCACAAGGTAACCGCTCAGAAAACATGAAAGGGGGTGAAGGACTTTGTGTGTAGCTATGTTGTCCTATTTTTGGCAAGCGCAGCTAGTGGACTCCTGAGATTCTAGCGTGGAGATTGGCGTGACACTTTGGAGTGCGTGGGCAATAGTCGGACATACAGATACGATTACCCCAGCACGTTGGATGTACACGTTGTATCCTGAACTTGACAGTGTTAACAGAGTGTAACAGCTGTAGTAATAGACTAAAAATGCATGAGTTGGACTCCTTCCAATTCCTTTTACAGTTGAAGTGCTCATTCTTGCATTCAGCTTGTGCTTTTTTCCTTCCATTTTAACCACTTGCCCTCAGTCTCTCTTTCCCTCTATTTCTCCCTTACACCTACTCAGAATGGCTCCTGCTTAGAATCCATTAATTCTAGCTCATGTCAATGTCCGTACCACCCCCGAGAGGACACCTTTGTTGGGGGATGAGCATTGGGGTGCCGTGGTTGAATTCTTGCCTGTTCCCTGATTTGCAATCAGTGCAGATGCTCCAGCAGTTATTCCAATCCTTATGAAAATGGGGTTGATGAACTGCTGAGAGATGTTCATCACCTGCATTGAGTGTTTTTGGAAACTGGTCTGAGTTGACACAGGCAATCTTATTGTGGTTCTCTTTGAGTGCCACAACATTCAAAAAGCTCTGGTGTGCTTCACGTTGAAGACAAATGGGGCCATTGCCTTCAAAGATTGGCTAAATTGTGTCATTAGTTAACTACCTGAGCTTGTTTGGTGGAACCCGTCCTTGGTGGAGTCAGGTGTAAGGATGTCTGCTGCTGGTGGTTATACTCATTCTTTAATCAGTTCAGCCCTCTCTAACAGTCTCTCCCTCTCTTTCTTTGGACTGAGTGGGCATGGCTGTGGCTCCTTCCTGCTTTGAAATCCTCTAGTCAAGCGTGCTGGCTCTCGCCACCGTAATGGGTTTAAGAGGCTCTCCTGAGCCGCCGTGGCTTCCTGCAGAAATGGCTCCTTCCGCTGGCTCGATTCTTGTCGGGGAATGTGGCAGGTGGCTGGGCTGTGCCTGCTTCTTTGTCTTTTCTTTTTTTCCCTCCCATCCACCCCTCCTTTTCTTCTCTCTCTTTTTTCCCTTGAGCAAGAATGAATGAGGCATTTAACCCCTTCAGATTGTCTGTATTGTTGGCACTTCCTGGTGACTTTGTGTTGTTTGTGTGGCGTGGCCTTACATGTGCAATGTGCCATGCTAGAGTCGAGTCTGAATACAGCACAGCAAAATAGTGATGATTAACAGTCTGAGGTGGATTTTAACAGCAATACTGCATAAAAGAAGGGCTTTTGAAGAAGTGCGTTGAGTACCAAGGACAACAGCACAGACATTCATACAACACAAAGTTGTATGATCTTACTTTAGATGGTGGTAACCTACCCATCAGGGGCACAATTTTTTATTTTTTTTTATTTTTGCATTACCCGCCTCAAAACAAACTTTCGAGTATGTTGAAAGTTTCTCAATGCAGTGTTCCTTGTTTCTTTCCAAGCAGAGCTCTAACAGTGCTCATCAGAACGACCAGCAGATTTCCTCTAATCTGGCATACCGCACATTCCCAATTTCCCACACTGATCCGCCACCCTTCCATTCGGCTCAGCTGTGCTTCCAGCAGGACCTCAAGGCTCTATCGTGAACATGCTGCTGTTAGTACAGAAAAAGGAAAAAAAAAAGCTTTTACATGTGGCTATACAATAAATATGCACAGTAAAATAGAACTAGTTTATATTTATTATAACGGAACAAACAACTGTTGACCTCCTAAATAATTTTTCAACACTTTAAAAAATATAAAAATGTGCAGTTGTTACCTTAAGGAGCAGGTATTCCTGATACTGTTGTTGGAGTAGCATAATGTAGTTGGATAATTTATTAATTAAAAAATATATTTTTTTTACTCAAATAAAACTTCAAAGAAAGATGTTAACAGAGGAAGCATTTTTACAGTAAAACACGACGGTCAGTTTTTTTTTACATAATTTTATTTCACGTTATCCTCAAAGATATATGTAAAATCTTCTAAATCTTTGCACTTGCTCTCCAAAAGTAAACAAGTCTTTGAGAACTCCCAGGGGCAGCTCAATTTGGACACAAAGGCATCCTCTCTTGTTTCTTGACTCTGAAGGTATGTTGTTGTTTTGAACTCCATCTTCACGCCTTGACTGTCACACTCCACCGAGGCTGGAATGAAGAGAAGAGGAGAACCTTGGTGATGGAGGTGCTGGTGGCTTTAATGGCCAAACTAAACCCTGCCCCCTACCTTTACCTGAAAGCGATGCCAAAAAAAAAAAAACAGCTTATTTAGCAGTTTTTTGGAAGTAACAGACTAGCTGAAAATTACAACACATTCTCACTCCCAAGTTCTCATCACATATGGACACTTGGTCACTACCCCTTGGCGTCACTTTTTAACACACCGGGTACCCTTTAGCATAATTTTTCAATGTGCAGGGTACTCCATTGCATTCAATGAGAAACCTTAGGCGTCAATACACAGACGTGAAGGACATGAGAAATGTTTTGTCATGAAATTATTTATTGGGGTATAATACTGTCATTGTTTTATCAGGGTTGGATCAAGTCTCTGCAGGAAGGTGGCCTGGAAGTGCCAAGTTTGCCCATCACTGCTCCAAGACCTGAAATTGGTGTGTCAAAGAAAGGAGACATGCAAAATGTGCAGTGTTGGGGTGCCTCCATGACCAGGGTTGGGAACTACTGTCCTAGCACACCCTCTGTATGCAGCTTGCGCAGACAACAGCATATCTGCAAGTGATTTGAGTGCTTGAAAAGAAAGAGGGTTTTCCCAACCTGTTTCTGGAGGGCCACTGTCCTGCAGTTTAACACCAACCCTAATTAAACACACCTGAACCAGCTAATCAAGGTCTTCAGACTCACTAGAAACTTCCTTCCAGGCAAGTGTGTTAGAGCTGGTTGAAGCAAAACTCTTTGGGATGTTGGCCCTCCAGGAGTAGAAAATGACGTGTAACTGGGCCTTCATCCTATCGCTTCCTTGAATACGGAGGTCTGTTACCACCAGAAAAAAAACCAAAGAATACAGAATACCCAAGACAGTTTTTAATGGGAAAAAATGCAATGCTCAATATAGCCGCTCTATCGAACGAAGCCCCATCTTCGGAGTAAAATAGAGCTAATCGCTAATCAGTAAAGTGATTGCGTCACTGCAGCTGCCGTTAGAAGTCCCAGTTGCTATAGGAACAGTCAGCGTTCTGAAACGTGCGCACTGGCTGGTCTAGCCTGAAAAATACGCTTTTTTTAACGCCATTTGAGCAAAATAAACAGCATTTATGAGACGGTTGTTGTCAGATTTTATTGGTGATTTCAAATATGAAATGTAATCGTAAGCTTGGCAAACAGTTTTGAAGAATTTGATGTTTCCCCATTCAAAGAGATATAGAGCTGCACTTGCATGCCCGAGAGGCGTTTCAAAGATGGCTGCCGAGTGACATGACTTGCCTTAAAGGGACTTTGATAAAAACGCATGTATAATGGGACCATATGCATGCAAAGAATGTTTACACGACAATGATTGTACTAAAAACTGAAAAGCTTTCCTTTGCATTTTTGAAAAGTTTCACATACAGGCGACAACATTGTCAAAATTATCTTGGTTCACACAGAAAAAATGCTGAATTATGCATGCCAGGCTAGTAGATGGCGATGTCACCATTTTCACAAATTCACGTTTTTGTACTTTACATTGAGACAATAATGGTATCGTTTTCAAAAACTTAAACTGAAACCAGTTTTCAAAAGTTTGCATTTTTTGACCATCAAAACGGCATTGTCACGTAAATAAACATCCAAAACGCGTAAAATGTTTTCCATTTAGTTGAAAGTGGTGCTGAGTTTGCTTTTGGCCTTTTTTCAGTAAACCCATCACAAACCATCTCAAATATTAATAGCCCACCTCCTCCTCTTTATTACAGAGAGGGAAGAAGTGTGTGCGGACCCCAAAGAGCCAGCGCGGGATGCGTTTCGAACTGTCCGGATGCCAGAGCGCCAGGCTGTATAAGCCGAAGTTCTGCGGGGTGTGTACAGACGGCCGCTGCTGCACGCCTCACGCCACCATCACGGCCGAGGTGGAGTTCCGCTGTCCCGAGGGAGACTCCTTCAGGAAGAAGATGATGTTCATTAAGACCTGCTCCTGTCACCACGATTGCCCCCGTGAGAACGATATCTTCCTCGCCTCAAACTCACGGAGAATGATCGGGGACTATGATAATGACATGTGAGGAGCTGGCCGGTGTAACACACACACACTGACGATCAAGCAAATGTGCATATGAGGCAGCTCCGTGTTTTACTGAACCCTGAAATTCTCACGACTCGTGAGCAGACAAAAACGAGAATGTTTGACATGAAGTGGGCATCGATAATGGCCCCGCAAACTTTTCTTCTCTTGTTTTGTATTTTGTGAAGCTCTGAAGTCATCTGGCTGTTTGACTGGTCCTGCTACAGCAGACCTAAAGCACTGAGAACTTTGTGTTAGAAAGATGGTTCACTCAAAAATGACATTTCTGTCATCATTTACTCCAACCTCATGTTGTTTCAAACCTATAAACTGTTATTTTTTTCAGAATACAAAAAGAGTTTTTGAAGAATCTTGATGCAGCTCTTTTCCATACGATGAAAATTTATAGTCACCATATCTGTAAAGCTCACCACAAAACCAAAACCGAAATATAGTCCATACAAGTGTTTCACTATTTTCCAAATTCTGAAGGAATAAGGAACACACTGACATTTAAATCAATAACAATTTGGTCACTATACAATGTCATTGTGTAGAAAAAGCTGCATGAAGTTTCTTTAAAAAATTCTCCTTTTGTTCTGGAACAAAATGTCATGGGTTTGGAATAGTGTGGGGTTAAACAATTACATATTTTAATGATTTTTTAAATGTATTGTTTTAGTTATTTTTGAGTAAACTATTCCTTTAAGACATTGTGGATATGAAGTAATTAATTAAATCATTCATATAGTTAATTTCAAGAACGTTTTCCTCAATACAGGAATAGACTGAAATGACAATAATGTAATCATACACTTGATATGTATTTTTTTCATTTAATTTGTCAATTGGGTTATCATTATTTACGATTATTTTTTACCTTACAACAAGGGATGATATTTAACAACTGACCTTAATAACTTTTAATCTTTGTATCTAATTGAACCCAATCTGTCAAGTATGAAAATCAATAATGAGTCCCAAAGTATTTTGGGAAGAATACACTCCAACAAATGAGGCTCAGATAATGAGATACTGCCTATGTTGTTTACTGTTTATTTAATAGGAAATGAATCCTTGGAAAGGAACCGAACAATGACGAATACACCTTGTGTAAATACTGTAAGAAGACCGTGTACAGATTGTACTAATTTATGTAACTGTCGTTTTTATGTAACTCTTAAATGTAGTTTTGTATGTGTACTGTATTACTCTGTGTTCATTGTAATCACCTGGCAATGATACCAGCAAGTTCTTTTCTGATGCACTTTTATTTTCCAATAAAGAAATTATATTTTTATATATATTCTGTGGATTATTGATTTTTAAAGTCACTAATATGGCAACAATAAAAGGCAACTGCACATTTAATAGGATTAATCCTTATTAATACTTGTAAGTATTAATAGAGCTACAGGTCTACAGAGATAAAAGTGCTGGCATGACCCTGTAATACCTGTAATGTTCTTTGCTGTTATATAAAAAAGTAACCTTAACATATGTTAAAATAGTTGTAGTTAAACGAATAGTTGGAAATTATATTTAATATAAATATTTATACAATTGATTTTTAATTATAATCAAAAAATATAAATTTTAAATGATAAAAATAATAAATGTAAAAATAAATTTAATATAATTTAAAAATAATCAAATCAGAAATTTGTTTTTGTAATAAATTCTGAAGTTTAGTCTAAAATTAAGCAGGAATTGTAATCATTATACTGTCTATATTGCATTCTGCATCTATATGAAGTGTTTAAAAAATATATTAAGAAGCAACAATTCTAACCAAGAAAATTTAGATTATTAGAGTAATGCTTTACTTTTTGATTTTGTTTTAGAATTTAATGTTACATTTTTATTGAAAGCTTTACATTGGATAAAAAAAGAAGTACAGCCTAAAAATGAAATGCAATGCCTCAAGTATTTAGAAATGGTGGGTATACTAGCAGAACATTTTCTATCTAGATGAAGCAGGCGTGTAGAAACAGAGAGAGATGGTGCTTAATTTATATTTCTGGTAGAGGATGCTCTGCTGCAGTTATTGTGTTATTGAGGTTGGCTCGCAGGCAGGCGGCTTGTTCAGCTAATCTGCAGAGTGATTGTTTCGGTCTTCAGCTGAGACAGTGGCTAACGTAACACAACATTCATTTGTCCATCTTTTTAATTAAAAAAATTAAAATAAAATTCTTGGTTACAGTGAGACACAACATAAGCGAATGAGGCCAGTTTGGCCAAAAGATCACTCATTGTTTCACAAGTATAGCCACACTAAAATTATTTTGTGGTAATTAATATAATGCTACAAAGCTTAACTTGTGCTGAATGCAGAATATTCCTTATAGTTTACCCTAACATTTTAATTCTGTCATCATTTACTCACCGTCATGTTAATATAAACCCATAAAACTTGAGCTGTATGGATGTGCATTGTAATGTTTATTTACAAATAAAAAATTAAATTGAATCCCTTGATCATATACGTAAAGTGTGTCTCTTCAGAATTGGATTAAACCGTTTGATTCATATCAGAACCATTTGAAGCTTTACATTTTTGGCCCTTCCAAGCTGTAGATGTGTTTGTGAACAGTGAATGGGTGCCGTCAGACTGAGAGTTCAAACAGCTGATAAAAATCCAGTGATCCACACAACTCCAGTCCATCGTTAACGTGTTGTTAAAGTGAAAATCTGTGTGTTCATTAGAAACAAATCCATTATGTTTAACCTTCTGGCCAAAATATGAGTAATCCATAACACTTCCCCCCAGCAAAATAAGTAAATAAATAAATAAAAATAATAATAATAATCTGACATATTTATTTAGAACCATGTCATTTTTTTGTTTCTGATTCATTACGGCTGCATTAAGAACGATTTGTGTTGCATTAAGCTGTTCCTTTTACTATTATTTCTGCTTTTTTCGCTCTTAACCATAACTGAAACTTTCTCCGTAAGTCTTCAGAAAATAAAAAAAACGTCAAGCACTTGACTCGCCTAGGCTTGGAGATCCTCTCTGGACTAGTGTCATCTATTTAACTTTTAGTTGTTTTAACTAAAAGTTAAAAGTTAAATAGATGACGACACTAGTCCAGAGAGGATCTCCAAGCCTAGGCGAGTCAAGTGCTTGACGTTTTTTTTTTTAATTTAGAACTGTTTTGGATTGTTTTGGCTTGATCTGTGCATATTTCTCTCCTGATTCAGACAAGATGACTTGAAAAAAAAAAAAACGTTATTATGGATTTGTTTACAAACAAGCAGCTTGTGAATTGCTTACAATACTTTTGGATTACTGTAATGTTGTGACTTTTTTTTCTGACGGCACCCATTCACTGCAGAGGATCCATAGAGCAAGTGATGCGCGCTATTTCTTTAACTGACACTAATTCCATAATGCGAACACGAATGTCTTCTTAATGAATAAAGGCTTAATTTTCAAAATATAATTTCCTATTTTCTTTCAATATATGTGGTCAAGGTTTTGTGAGAGTAGCCCTATAAAGATCCCTTCTGAAGTAGGGTTAAATGTCTTGATCAAGGGCTCATCGGCATTAACCCGAGGGTGATGCTGGGTGTTGTTGAACCTACGACCAGTGTCCAGATCTTTTACAACCACATGACCCTCAACAGAAAGGGAATCGTGATTTGAACATTAGGGCGCATCATCAGAGAAGAGCTGTGACGCTCGCCTACGAAAGAGCTCAGCGTCGACAAAAAACGTATTATTGTACTGGAAAACCAAGGGGATAAAGGACAGCGCCTTTTCTTCGCCTCAGGTAGACACTTACCTTTTCTGGGTTCGCCATTTAAGCCGGCCGGTCAGAATAGTGAACGTAAATATCCCTGACTAGTAGCGTTACTTCGCGTACGGCAGCGGAGCAACTGCTGAGGTGTAACGTGCGGTGCTGATTGACAGATAATGTTGCTATAGTTACAGCAGTGACCGTTAAAAACGGTTCGCGCTGTCAGCTGGATCAGCGCGTGCATTAGACCGTTCAAATAAAACACATTAAAGACATTTCCAGCTGAATTTATTGCGGAATCAGATAGAGATGACCATTCTGCTCGCGTTAGCACGGTTATTTTATTGTATTATTCTGGCGTGAGATATGTCGTTTTAATGCGGTGCTGAATCGCCGTTGTCATTTTATGTTTTTATTTCGCAATGTCCGACCATTTCGACTAGTTTCAGTCGTGTAATGCAGATTTGAAGCATATGGGTCCTTTTCTATCAGTGTCAGCAGCTGTGAGTTATGTAATGCATATGCATTATTATGGTGTTATTTATCGTACTGCAGAGAAATGAGCAATCTCTCGCTCTTCTCCCCCTCACTTAAATGTCATGTGGATGTAAACATGTGTTCGAGGGAAAAAGAAGAGCAGTTTAACGCAAATAAGCAGTATTTATATTGATTTTGGTTTTACAGCTGTTTTTAGACATTTGTGCGGGAGTACAATCTCATGTGTTCATGGTAAAAATCATTGATTGAAGCATCCAAGTGGCTAATAGAGTGTTCAGTATTCTTACATGACCTTGAGGACTCCCTGATTGTAGGAAAACAAATGTCTCTTTAATGGCGTAAACTGTGAAAGCATTGTACAGATTTGCTGAAACCTTCACTTTGGCTCACCCAACCCTGAAATCAAAACCTTGGAAATGCAATGTTTTATGAAACACATGCACCGCACAACAACTTTTCAAACTCCATTGGAAGCATGTGAGTAGAGAAAACAGGGAAAAGTGGAGAAGAAGGGTGAACTAAATGCATTATTATTAATGACCAGCATAGCAAACAGTTACAGCATAGCAAACAGCTCAGTTCCAGTAAAACAGATACAACTCACCGAGAAACAACACATGCTGGGTTCATTCAGAGGGATGCATGCATAGTCAGGTTATGAACATGTAATGTAATGTATTAGAGTGCAGGTGGATTGGGGTCTGGGTATACGCTAGCCTGTAAGTTTATGTTCAGAGTTGTAGGGGAAATGCAGTTATTAATGCTCAGGTGGGCATCGCTTTATGAAGAGTAGAGTAGCTGAGTCTGTATGGGTGATTTTTAGTGAGATTTTAAAGTGTTACAACTGTGCTTTAGTGTTTTTGATGTGCTGTTGTGGGTGTTGTCTTCATGCTGCTTTGCTGATGTGCTCAGTATGGGATTTCAGCATTGTTATTTATGAGTCCAATAATAGCTGTGTCGTCTGCATATCAGAAGATTGTATTGAGCTGTGATGGGATGTGAAGTGGTTCGTCTAGAGAGAAAACAGCAGAGATGAATGTTAAGTTCTTAAAGCTGAATGCTGATTGTCATATTCACTATTGTTCAGGGTTTGAGACTGTAATATACAGCTATTTTTTTTGTCTGATATTTTACGCAGTCTGTCATTTTTAGTAGTTCAGCACATAATGCTTTGTATGGACTTATAAAGGCTTAATGTATTAATATTTCTGTGACAGTTTCTGGTTATTTGAAAGAGTGGCCCTAACACGTTTTTGGAATAAAATAGAACAGGATAGAATAGAATAGAGTTTTTATGTCATTGTGTTAGACCAAGAGGATTTTATTTAACAAAATGAATCCTTATATAAATTAAAAATCATGTAAATAATTAAAATAAAAGATATGCTGC